CAGCAGCGGGACTTGCTTCGACGAGCAAAAAGTCTCTCCGGTGCCTCGGCTGTTGGTTGACAATATGTTGGAGGAAGCTGAAGATGTTTTCTTGCTGCTCAGCACGGTAAAATTCGGCGCTGCCGCTGGTGCCGCTAGCCGCAGTTGCAGGGGCAACAGCTGTATATGCCGCTACAGCCGAATGTGTTGCTGCTGCTGTCCCTGCACCTGATGGTTCTGCTGCTGCTGCTGCTGTTGGAAGCATCGACAGTTCTTCAGCTGCCTCAGGGAAGCCGCGGGCTGTGCTGCTGCCTGGGGTCGGCCACCCTGCTGTTGCTGATGCTGCTGCCGGGTTGAGGCTCTGCTGCATGCAAAAAAGTCAGCAAACGAGCATAAAACAGCGAGCTAGCAGCAGCAGAGATGTGCAGCAGCGCATAGCAGCAGCAGCAGTAGCTGCGGCACCTAGCCGCAGTAGCAGCAGCAAAGGTTGTAGCTGACCTGAGAAGGGCTGGCCCTCAGTTGCCTGAGGCTGCTGCTACACGAGGATGGGCCGCCGCCTCCGTACAGGCAATGCTGAAGACACGATCTCGCAGCAGCAGCGACAACAGCAGCAGGACGTGCTAGTGCAACAGCTGCAGCAGTTGCAACAGAAGCATCTGCATCAGCAAACGAGCCGGAAAATAGCATTTGCAGGGAGCAACAGCCTTCACCAGCTGTCGTAGTTCACAGCGGCAACGAACAGCAAGGACAGCAGCGTCAGCAGCAGCAGCAGCAGCACACACCTGGAAGTCTGCCGCTAGGTCTCGTGCAGCAACGGAAAGGCGGTTGGGTCTGCTCAGCCGTTCTGCGATGTTGCAGCTGCAGATCAAGTCACACAACCCTTTCTGTTTTTGTTGCTTCTGGTTCTGGTGGTGCTCCACCAGCAGCAGCAGCTGCTGCTGCAGCATTTGTCCCACAAGGGGGGAGGCAACAGCAGCAGATATGGCTGAAGGAAGTGGGTGTTGCACTGAAACAGAAGCAATGGCATGCGTAACAACAGCGGCACGAGGGACAGCAGCAACAGCCGAAGCAGCAGCAGCCGAAGCAGCAGCACCCAAAGTAGCAACAGCAGCCACAGCAGCAGCCTAAGCCTCAGTGACAGAAGCAGCAGCAGCAGCAGTAGCGAAGCACGACCTACAGAGGCGTGAGGGGCAAAGCACCATCCATTTGCTGTTCTTCCCCTCGGAGCCTCGCAGCGACCGCCATGTGGAATTCGGCTGCTTGCTGCTGCGTCGTTGCTGCATCTCCGTCTCGCGCTGCTGCTGCTGCTGCTGCTTCTGCTGCGGCGGCCTTTTTGCTTTTATGCAGAGTCCCTCGTCTCGCACGGTCTCGCATCAGCTGCAGCTGCAGCTGCTCCAAGTGCTGCTGCTGCTGCTGCTGCTGCTGCACTCGCTGCTGCATCTCTTCCCATAGATTTGGCTGCGAAGGCAGTTTCACCAGAAACGTCTCGACGTGCATCGCCAACGCATGCAGCAGCACCTCCCGTCTGCACCAGCAGCAGCAGTAAGACACCCACAGCAGCAGTAGCAGCAGCAGCGAGTCATCGGCAGCAGCAGTAGCATCGCGTAGCCGACAACAGCAGCGGCATCCAACGCCGTGAAAAGGAGCAGCAACGGCACGCATCAGCAGCAGAGTGCAGCAGGAGCAGCAGCGCCAGCGTACGGTTCCTTGTAGTAAGCACTCGAAAGCTGCTGCAGCAGGAGCTCCAGCCTCTCGGCTGATGGATTGCAAGACAGGCCAATGCAAACGGTTGGCCGCGCCGCCGGATATCTGAAGAATTGCACTACACACTGCGAGAGGCAGCAGCGATAGCAGCAGCAGCAGTAGCAACAGCACTTGCAGCAGTAACAGCAGCAACAACAATGGAAAAAGCAGCAACTGCCACAGTAGCAGCAACAACGGCGTCGGTGCGGCCACACCATCCGCGACAGCTCCCCCGAACCCTGCCCAGCGGCAGCACAAACGG